CGCGCGCGGCTGCGGCGCGGCGGGCCGCGGCCGCGGCGCGCGCGGTCGCGGCGGCGCGGCCGCGCGCGGGTCGCGGTAGGGCTGCGGCGCGGGCGGGCCGCGGCGCGGCGCGGCGTAGGCGGCGTGGCCGGCGGCGTGCGGCGCGCGCGGGTCCGGCGCGGCGCGCATCGCGGGCGGCGCGGCGCGCGCGGGCGGCGGCGCGGCGCGCGGCGCGGGCCGCGGCGCCTCGAAGACGCCGCGCGCGTCCGCCGGCCAGGCGTCGACGCGGTGGTGCGCCGGCCGGGGCGGCGCGGCCGCGGGCGGGCGGGCCGGCGGGAAGGACGGCGGCTCCGGCGGGAACGACGGCGGCGCGGCGGCGCGCGGCGGCGGCGCGGCCGGCGGCGGCGCGCGCCGCGGCTCGTCCGGCGGCGGCAGGGGCTCGAGGGTGGGCGCCGGCGCGTAGGCGCGCGCCGGCGCGCCGCCGCTCTTGACGCCGTCCGGGTCCCAGAGCGGCTGGCAGGACTGCATGATGAACGCGTCGATCGCCGGCGTCGACACCACGTCGTGCGAGTGCAGGAACCGCGCCTCGAGGTCGATCATGCGCGCGTCCTTGGATTCCGTGGACCGGATGCAGGCGTCGACGAAGCGCGCCTCGAGGACGCTCAGCTCCTGCTGCGCCGCGGCGACGGACGCCGCGGACGGCGCGACCGCGGACGCGGAGTTGCGCTGCCGACCGGTCTGCGAACGCGGGGCGACGGTCAAGAGCTATAAACGCGCGAACAAGCTCGGACGCCGCGGCACTGACCGACGAGTGGAAGACGCGCTTGCCGAGGCAGGACGCGCCGGAGAACTTCTTCGTGATGCGCATCGGGTCGCAGCTGAGCTTTTGCGCGAGGTAGCTCCGCAGCGTCGCGCCCTCGGGCAGCTCGAGCAGGCCCGTGTTGAAGAGCTCGATGATGCGCGTCGTGAACTCCGTCTCCTCGATGGTCCACTTGCCTACGCATTGCGGCGGCTCCGGCGGCGGCGCGTGCGGCGCGTGCGGCGCGCTGCGCACCTTTGCGCGTCGTCGCGCCGTCGTCCTTGGCCTTGGCCTTCTTGGCCTTCTTCGGCGGCGGCTCGTCGCCGGCCGCGGGCGCTGGTGCAGCCGGTGCCGGCGCGGCTGCAACCGGCGCCGGTGCGGGCGGCGGAGAAGT